TATATCTATATAGTATAAATTAAAATGTCTTTTTTTCCGTATCATAATAAAATAAGACAATATGTAAATGACATGGTTTTAAGATTAGAATGTTGTACAGTACATATTGCCCATTTATTTTTAATAGTAGCACACTGTGTGCACAGGAGAAATGAAACTGCATTTTTGTGATGCATTTTAATTTTTAAGTAATCATTTACCAGACAGCATTTACAATATGTAATAGGAAGAAAAACAAAGAAACTCTTTTTCTTTTAATTTCTTGTTTTCAAAAATACAATACAAAGAATTTATTATTAATAATTAAATTACTAAAATAAATTAATAAGATTTTGTTTTAACGCGGGTATGTTAAGGCAGCACATGGACCAGAATTTGGCGAATTAAGACTTTTTTATAATTATGTAACACTAATAAATCGGAAAAGTCAAGCATAAAACATTTGTTATAATTATGCATCCTATAGACTTAAATGGGACATAGACTACATGAAGCACTTCACCAAGACGTCACCACGTAACGTCTATTATTAGAAAGTATGCCTTAACGAAAAAGTGAAAAGTTCAACACTACCCCGGGGATAATTAATTTCAATTTGTAATAATTTAATTTTGCTTGTATTCTTGCCTCTCATTGGTTGATTTCCAAAAAGGAACGCATAACATTTTGTATAATCTGGTTTGGTATGGGGACACACCCCCTTGACAACCAGCTGAATCATCTGTATCCAGCAATCCCCTCATTTTCAGTCCTTGGGATTCATGGAAAATTTCAGATTTAATGAATGTACCTTTAATTTCAAACAGTTGCTCGATCTTACCTCATGTAAACAAGCATCATGGCTGCTAGATCTATGTATCAGTTTTTACCTCCCCTAGCTTCCCATCACTTCCGTTACTACGGTTGTATTATTGCGCGATAAATTTGAACTCATAAAAACAACACAATTTTGCATCCCCCAGTTATTTAATTATTTTAAAATTAAATTATAAGGAATGACTCTAATTCTTGGCCAAATTATCGAGTATAATATGGTTTGGGTCAGTTTACGCTATTTTATAATCCGCTTCGTGTATTAAAAAGCGTAAACTGACCCAAACCATATTATACTCGATAATTTGGCCAAGAATTAGAGTCATTCCTTAAATAATAATTATGTAAAAACATCTCTGTACCATGAAAAGTGCTGCTAGAATCTTATTGTCCTATCCAAGAAATAATTATTCAACACTTTCTGACGAAACCTTCCCAAAATTTTTACATTCTGTTCATAACATCGAAAAAAATGCATTAATTCCCGTAAACCATACTATTCTAGCAGCACTTTCCAAAAACAATAGAATAAGAACTTTAGATAGAAACAAAAATTTAGTTTCAAAGTGTGCGGCGTAGTGTTGAACTTTTGCATCTTATTTGTTATGAACGACAGAGGAAAGGCTGATCGGCAAGTAAACACACTCCCTGCTTTAATTTTACTAAGAAATTGTTGAAGTATATTACAATACCTTATTCATAAGCTTTATTCCCACATGAATCACACATGATATTAATTCTAAATGCTTTCAAACTCCAATTTCTTGTGTTTGTTTACATGAATTCTCGCTACGTTTCACTTTCACTCTGCTACAGCATGATCAACAGTTATGACGTCACGGGTTTGGTATTTAACCCCTGTGATAACTACAGAGACCCAGAAACGACAAAATTCTGTTTGTATTATGCCTCTGCATATTTTGATTAAGTTTTACGACCTCAAATCAATCTTAGATATCGATTATTAGAAATTGTTATCTCTAAACTTCACGCCATATAGCTTGCTATGACGTCATATCATATAGGCAAGTAGAATATTTGGTTGTAACCTTAACCTACCTGCCAATATCATACATGTCAGTAATTGTAAATTAAGGAAAAATATTCTACTTTAACTTTATGCTACTTGATTGTACATGTATATTACATGTATGGCAAAACAGATTCATGCGAACAGGTAGATAGGGTTAACAGACCTGATACCACACTACTTACAGTTTCTTTGTTTGTTGCTGGGTCCACTAGTTTTGGGTACGATTTTTTATGCTTGCTGCCTTTTGTGTCTTCTTCATCATCTGATATTGATTTCTTTTTCTTGGAGACTTTACTCTGTGACTTCCCATCGTCTGAAGATGCCTTTCTTTTGGGCATGTTTACTGCTTTATTAACAAAAGGGATCATTGTAAGAAGTATTATATCACAAACAAATATAATTTCAGCGAGATGTCGTAGGGACTCTGTCGCTGAGATTTACTCATTTAGAACAAAAATGAAAATACTAAACTAGTTCCTGATTATACTGTACATTGTTTATCATCACATGGATGCATAAATTAACTGAAACACATACAAAGATCATAGCATGTTGATAAACTAATTTACAAGGTACTGTAATGATATTGGGTGTGCTTGATTGTAAAGTCAGATTTCAATTCCGAGAGTTCCAAAAATTCTATAAATCATGTAAAACTGGAATTGAAATTAGTTCACAATATGGCTGTAGCTCAACAAATAAAGAATTTCTTCTTATTAAATGATTTATTGTAAGACGCAATGGAGGAAGAAAGTGCAAGTGAATGCTTAGCTGCAGATCTGTAGCTCTCCGAAAAAATATTTTGATAGACTGGAGAGCTACAGTGCCATCCATTGAAAAAACTGTATATTTATTGAGGAAAAAAAGTGCACTGGGTTCTTCATTAATTCTTCCAATTTCCTACCTCAATAAATGAATTGCAAAAAAGGATACATTTTAAAAAATCCTTTATCCTCAATCAAGTACTCTTGTAGTTGACATCTGAACGAAGCATATTGGACCGAATTATCTTTGAAACCAAAATGGCAGTATAGATCAGCGAAGTGTTTGATGATTACAATAGCAGGGTCAGGAGGACTATAAACAACAATTTTGAGAAATGTTTGGTTGTGGATACAGCAAAAGAATATCTTAGGAACACACGGTTAGTAATATTTTGAGATTACAGTTTTAAGAACACGGAGAAATAAACTGAAAACCGAGCACACTTTTTTTGTGCGCAATAAATTAGCTGCAGATCTGTAGCTCTCCGAAAAAAATTTTTGATAGACCGGAGAGCTACAGTGCCACCCATTGAAAAAACTGTATATTTATTGCGCACTAAAATGTGCGCTCGATTCTTGATTAATTTTTCCAAATTCTTATCTCCATTGCAAAAAAATGGAAGATTTCAAAAAATTACTCTCTCCTCTATCAAGTTCTCTCATAGTTGACATCTGAACGAAGCATATTGGACCGAATTATCTTTGAAACCAAAATGGCAGTATAAATAAGCTAAATGTCCGATGATTGCAATATCAGGACCAGGAGGACTAATAACAACAATTATGAGGAATATTTTATTGTGGAAAGAGTCAAAGAATATGTTAGGAACAAACGGTTAGTAATGTTTTGAGATTACAGCTTTAAAAAGATGGAGAAATAAATTGAGGACCGAGCGCATTTTTTTTTTGTGGGCAATATACAGTTTTATCAATGAATGGGTGGCTCTGTAGCTCTCCGGTCTATCAATTCTTTTTGGAGAGCTACAAATCTGCAGCTAGCAATAAATATACAGTTTATTCAATGGGTGGCACTGTAGCTCTCCAGCCTATCAATATATTTTTTTGGAGAGCTACAGATCTGCAGCTAGTGAATGCTGTGAAGAAAAGAATATCATGATGTTTGCTGTGTGCAACTCGTAGGTGAACTTAACAATTAACATGATTTGAATAATATTTTGAGAACAATATTAAATTTAAACAAGCTACCAATCAAGCACGCCCACTGTCGATTATCACGATTATCATTATGTAAAAATACAGCTGTGTAAGAAGCCACACAAAGTGCTACAGTTAAAACAATTGAAGATTTTTTATGGAAAGTTTCCTCCACAATATATAAGACCCTTTCAACATAAAAATCCTACATTATAATTACCTGTAAAACTTTTAACTGGGCTTTGAATGTTTAGAAGAACGCTCTGTAGTCGAGTGTAGACTCAAAAATCGCGGTTGCATAAGCACAAGAAGTGACAAAGGCATAAGAATTGAAGGGCCGATCTCGAGAGAATGATTAATTCCGGAATTCATGTCTGACATTGTTTTGTATAATATGAAAACAATACAGGTATAAACAAGTCAATGAATCTATTAGAAGAATGTTAATGAAGTTACGTAAGAGGTACATAATATGTTGACGGTGCGACCGTTATTGTTTATTTTGTTAGAATTTAAATCGGGCTCGAACGTCAAACTGCACGTGGCATGTGATGCGTCTACAATCGGCAATCCTCGGCTGACTCCGCTTCGCTCCATTCAAACCTCGGATGTGATAGGTGGAGGAATACGCAACAGATCGCTACATTTCTCCGCCGGAAGTGCCTTCTCACTCATTTTTCCACATGCTTGAAGATGGCCGAAAACGTTTGTTTTTTAGATTGTATGAAGTATGCGAAAGATTGTCTGGGCATTGAGTTTGAACTTAAAGATAAACAGATAGAGACGTTAAGGTCTGTTTACGAGGGGAATGACACATTGGCTGTTTTACCAACGGGCTTTGGTAAGAGCATTATCTTTCAGCTGCTACCATTCATGTTCCAGAGGAAATTCGGCCGTCGCCAGCCTATGATAACCATTATTGTTACACCTTTGAATTCGATAATGCAGGACCAGGTGCAGTCTCTTACCAAGCGTGGAATACCTGCCTGCTTTCTTAATATCGAAGGTACAGGTGTGAAAACCTTCGTTGATGGTAAAAGGTATGTGCATTTACAAAATGTTACAAGTGAAATCTTACCAATATTGACCTATGAAACACCATTTCCTAGTTATAGTTTCTTAATTTTAACGAGCAATGTAGTTCTTTTAAGTGTGAAATTTAAATTTAAATACATATAAGCTTGAATCTGTGCGCTGTGTGTTCTTTATTGTTTAATACAGCAGGAACAGATGTGAAGGTACCGTTTGAGAAATACATGCACTGCTCCTATTTATAACAAATAACTGTTTAATTTTTTCGTTTTCATATTGGATCTATCAATTGGCTTGAGTGATAAATTGCATAATTGGAAGTACAAATGTTTTTGACTTTATTATATTATTATTAAACATCATTTGGCTAATGTATATTGATCGAAGTAAATTGAAGAAATTTTTTATAGGGGCAGGTATGGTCAATATATTTATTATATAGATATCAAAAAAGTTTTCAGGATGAAGACTCGGACACTGATATAGAGGAAGTAGTAATATCTAGTGCCCCATTGCAGGATGTGAAGAAGGGTAACTTTTGTCTTATATATGCCCATCCAGAGACTTTAGTAGATAAAAAGGACTTTGGAAAAGTTTTACGAAGTACTGTGTTCCAAGAAAGAGTGTGCGCCATTGTTGTGGATGAGGTTCACATGATTTCTGAATGGTAAGCAAACATCAGGACTTAAAAAATGTGTTTCTTGTCAGATTTACTCTAATTTTACCCCCTATCTTTACCTTTTATTCCAAATTTGTTTTTTGAACCTTAGATTTATTTACTCATACAGTTCTTCTATAGTGAATTTTTTTAACGGAAAGACACAGTTTAGAAAGACACTTAAAAAAATTGCATTGTAATGAAAGCATTGTTTATTTTAATTTATATATTACGTATGATATATGAAGTAAAACATTCGTCAAGGTACGAAGGTTCGATTCCTTCCCTAAGCTTTCAAAGGCAAGTTGCTGGTTGCAAAGTGGGCAAATTGCTTAGTGGCCCCGCCTTGACGTATGTATACTTATGTATGTAATATATTGTTGCACAGTTATCTGCTCTGATATAAATCATTAAATGCACAAATATTTGTGGGGATAAGACTTGAATATTTTGGAAATATTCCTTTTCAATATATTGTCATATGAAAATTTTGCTTGGGAATTTAATTCATTGATGATTGTTAACAACGAAATAAACAAATCTAAATCCTCAACATAATTTTCTGCTTTACAGTATGTTTTTCTATATCACACCAAATAGCCTTAAAATCAAAGTTCACTGCATCCATAGTCAGCTGAAGAGTATTGCTTTAACTTGAACATGTTCAATCAATATCTTTCTTATCGAGGAACATTAGAGTCTGCTAATTCACAAAGATTGCTCATGACATAAACATGACCTTGACCAAGGTTAATTGGGCAAGTTCAAGGTCACTTAAAAAAAAAACTCAATAATTTGTGTCCAGTCCACATCTTTCTTTTTGTATAAACTTCACAAGTTCCCATATTACAAAGATTGCTTATGACCTAAAGGCATGTCATGACCTTGACAAAAGGTCACATGTGCAAGTTCAAGGTCTCTGAAAAGATGTTAATAATTCATATATATTCCTCATGAAAGAACTTGAATCTACTACTTCACAAAACGATTGCTCATGAGGATGTGTCATGACCTTGATCATTTGTGCAAATCCAAGGTCACTCAAAATGTACACAGCAATACTGGTATTAGTGACTTGGTACAACTGAAAAACCCTTTTGACAGTTCTTATTATATATGCAATTTTATCCAGTTTTATTTATGGAAAATATATTTATGTTTTTAGGGGAAAAGAGTTCAGAAATTCTTTTGATAAACTGGGCAATTTGACCTGCCTTTTCCCTGATGTGCCTCATTTAGCCCTTACTGCCACAGCTACCAAATCAGACATTGCAAGGCTTTCTGAAGTATTACAATACCGAGACACACAGTTTGTTATTGCAAATCCAGACAGGCCAAACATCTACCTCGAGATCCGAAGCCGTCTGCCAAACATTCGTAAATTTGAAAAATTTGACAACATTCTGGCTGAGATAGTATCAGAACTCAGTGACAAGCTTGACAGATATCCTGTTACCATTGCCTATTGCAACAATTTGGAGGCCATAGGGTATGCATATGTGTACACAGAACAGAAGCTTGGACCCAGGGCCTACATACCACAGGAAGGAGTTCCAGAGAATCGTATTTTTGGGCAATATCATAAAGACTACTCTGAGAAAATGAAGTTGCAAATTGTCTCCGAGCTTTCTAAACCACAGCCTAAACTACGACTAGTCTTCGCCAGTGTAGCCTTGGGAATGGGATTGAATGCCCCTTCAATCTCACAGATCATTCACTTCCGTCCCCCAACCACCTTAGAAAAGTACTTCCAAGAAGTAGGTCGAGCTGGACGATCTGGACAGAGTGCCAAGGCAATCATGTTCATGAAAAACAATTTCTCCTTTCTTGTTCCGTGTTGGTTCCTTTGCTGTGTATTTAATTTCTCCTGTCTGTTGATAAAAAAAAAACAATTTATTTAATTAATATATCTATATAGTATAAATTAAAATGTCTTTTTTTCCGTATCATAATAAAATAAGACAATATGTAAATGACATGGTTTTAAGATTAGAATGTTGTACAGTACATATTGCCCATTTATTTTTAATAGTAGCACACTGTGTGCACAGGAGAAATGAAACTGCATTTTTGTGATGCATTTTAATTTTTAAGTAATCATTTACCAGACAGCATTTACAATATGTAATAGGAAGAAAAACAAAGAAACTCTTTTTCTTTTAATTTCTTGTTTTCAAAAATACAATACAAAGAATTTATTATTAATAAATAAATTACTAAAATAAATTAATAAGATTTTGTTTTAACGCGGGTATGTTAAGGCAGCACATGGACCAGAATTTGGCGAATTAAGACTTTTTTATAATTATGTAACACTAATAAATCGGAAAAGTCAAGCATAAAACATTTGTTATAATTATGCATCCTATAGACTTAAATGGGACATAGACTACATGAAGCACTTCACCAAGACGTCACCACGTAACGTCTATTATTAGAAAGTATGCCTTAACGAAAAAGTGAAAAGTTCAACACTACCCCGGGGATAATTAATTTCAATTTGTAATAATTTAATTTTGCTTGTATTCTTGCCTCTCATTGGTTGATTTCCAAAAAGGAACGCATAACATTTTGTATAATCTGGTTTGGTATGGGGACACACCCCCTTGACAACCAGCTGAATCATCTGTATCCAGCAATCCCCTCATTTTCAGTCCTTGGGATTCATGGAAAATTTCAGATTTAATGATTGTACCTTTAACTTCAAACAGTTGCTCGATCTTACCTCATGTAAACAAGCATCATGGCTGCTAGATCTATGTATCAGTTTTTACCTCCCCTAGCTTCCCATCACTTCCGTTACTACGGTTGTATTATTGCGCGATAAATTTGAACTCATAAAAACAACACAATTTTGCATCCCCCAGTTATTTAATTATTTTAAAATTAAATTATAAGGAATGACTCTAATTCTTGGCCAAATTATCGAGTATAATATGGTTTGGGTCAGTTTACGCTATTTTTATAATCCGTTTCGCGGATTATAAAGCGTATACTGACCCAAACCATATTATACTCGATAATTTGGCCAAGAATTAGAGTCATTCCTTAAATAATAATTATGTAAAAACATCTCTGTACCATGAAAAGTGCTGCTAGAATCTTATTGTCCTATCCAAGAAATAATTATTCAACACTTTCTGACGAAACCTTCCCAAAATTTTTACATTCTGTTCATAACATCGAAAAAAATGCATTAATTCCCGTAAACCATACTATTCTAGCAGCACTTTCCAAAAACAATAGAATAAGAACTTTAGATAGAAACAAAAATTTAGTTTCAAAGTGTGCGGCGTAGTGTTGAACTTTTGCATCTTATTTGTTATGAACGACAGAGGAAAGGCTGATCGGCAAGTAAACACACTCCCTGCTTTAATTTTACTAAGAAATTGTTGAAGTATATTACAATACCTTATTCATAAGCTTTATTCCCACATGAATCACACATGATATTAATTCTAAATGCTTTCAAACTCCAATTTCTTGTGTTTGTTTACATGAATTCTCGCTACGTTTCACTTTCACTCTGCTACAGCATGATCAACAGTTATGACGTCACGGGTTTGGTATTTAACCCCTGTGATAACTACAGAGACCCAGAAACGACAAAATTCTGTTTGTATTATGCCTCTGCATATTTTGATTAAGTTTTACGACCTCAAATCAATCTTAGATATCGATTATAAGAAATTGTTATCTCTAAACTTCACGCCATATAGCTTGCTATGACGTCATATCATATAGGCAAGTAGAATATTTGGTTGTAACCTTAACCTACCTGCCAATATCATACATGTCAGTAATTGTAAATTAAGGAAAAATATTCTACTTTAACTTTATGCTACTTGATTGTACATGTATATTACATGTATGGCAAAACAGATTCATGCGAACAGGTAGATAGGGTTAACAGACCTGATACCACACTACTTACAGTTTCTTTGTTTGTTGCTGGGTCCACTAGTTTTGGGTACGATTTTTTATGCTTGCTGCCTTTTGTGTCTTCTTCATCATCTGATATTGATTTCTTTTTCTTGGAGACTTTACTCTGTGACTTCCCATCGTCTGAAGATGCCTTTCTTTTGGGCATGTTTACTGCTTTATTAACAAAAGGGATCATTGTAAGAAGTATTATATCACAAACAAATATAATTTCAGCGAGATGTCGTAGGGACTCTGTCGCTGAGATTTACTCATTTAGAACAAAAATGAAAATACTAAACTAGTTCCTGATTATACTGTACATTGTTTATCATCACATGGATGCATAAATTAACTGAAACACATACAAAGATCATAGCATGTTGATAAACTAATTTACAAGGTACTGTAATGATATTGGGTGTGCTTGATTGTAAAGTCAGATTTCAATTCCGAGAGTTCCAAAAATTCTATAAATCATGTAAAACTGGAATTGAAATTAGTTCACAATATGGCTGTAGCTCAACAAATAAAGAATTTCTTCTTATTAAATGATTTATTGTAAGACGCAATGGAGGAAGAAAGTGCAAGTGAATGCTTAGCTGCAGATCTGTAGCTCTCCGAAAAAATATTTTGATAGACTGGAGAGCTACAGTGCCATCCATTGAAAAAACTGTATATTTATTGAGGAAAAAAAGTGCACTGGGTTCTTCATTAATTCTTCCAATTTCCTACCTCAATAAATGAATTGCAAAAAAGGATACATTTTAAAAAATCCTTTATCCTCAATCAAGTACTCTTGTAGTTGACATCTGAACGAAGCATATTGGACCGAATTATCTTTGAAACCAAAATGGCAGTATAGATCAGCGAAGTGTTTGATGATTACAATAGCAGGGTCAGGAGGACTATAAACAACAATTTTGAGAAATGTTTGGTTGTGGATACAGCAAAAGAATATCTTAGGAACACACGGTTAGTAATATTTTGAGATTACAGTTTTAAGAACACGGAGAAATAAACTGAAAACCGAGCACACTTTTTTTGTGCGCAATAAATTAGCTGCAGATCTGTAGCTCTCCGAAAAAAATTTTTGATAGACCGGAGAGCTACAGTGCCACCCATTGAAAAAACTGTATATTTATTGCGCACAAAAATGTGCGCTCGATTCTTGATTAATTTTTCCAAATTCTTATCTCCATTGCAAAAAAATGGAAGATTTCAAAAAATTACTCTCTCCTCTATCAAGTTCTCTCATAGTTGACATCTGAACGAAGCATATTGGACCGAATTATCTTTGAAACCAAAATGGCAGTATAAATAAGCTAAATGTCCGATGATTGCAATATCAGGACCAGGAGGACTAATAACAACAATTATGAGGAATATTTTATTGTGGAAAGAGTCAAAGAATATGTTAGGAACAAACGGTTAGTAATGTTTTGAGATTACAGCTTTAAAAAGATGGAGAAATAAATTGAGGACCGAGCGCATTTTTTTTTTGTGGGCAATATACAGTTTTATCAATGAATGGGTGGCTCTGTAGCTCTCCGGTCTATCAATTCTTTTTGGAGAGCTACAAATCTGCAGCTAGCAATAAATATACAGTTTATTCAATGGGTGGCACTGTAGCTCTCCAGCCTATCAATATATTTTTTTGGAGAGCTACAGATCTGCAGCTAGTGAATGCTGTGAAGAAAAGAATATCATGATGTTTGCTGTGTGCAACTCGTAGGTGAACTTAACAATTAACATGATTTGAATAATATTTTGAGAACAATATTAAATTTAAACAAGCTACCAATCAAGCACGCCCACTGTCGATTATCACGATTATCATTATGTAAAAATACAGCTGTGTAAGAAGCCACACAAAGTGCTACAGTTAAAACAATTGAAGATTTTTTATGGAAAGTTTCCTCCACAATATATAAGACCCTTTCAACATAAAAATCCTACATTATAATTACCTGTAAAACTTTTAACTGGGCTTTGAATGTTTAGAAGAACGCTCTGTAGTCGAGTGTAGACTCAAAAATCGCGGTTGCATAAGCACAAGAAGTGACAAAGGCATAAAAATTGAAGGGCCGATCTCGAGAGAATGATTAATTCCGGAATTCATGTCTGACATTGTTTTGTATAATATGAAAACAATACAGGTATAAACAAGTCAATGAATCTATTAGAAGAATGTTAATGAAGTTACGTAAGAGGTACATAATATGTTGACGGTGCGACCGTTATTGTTTATTTTGTTAGAATTTAAATCGGGCTCGAACGTCAAACTGCACGTGGCATGTGATGCGTCTACAATCGGCAATCCTCGGCTGACTCCGCTTCGCTCCATTCAAACCTCGGATGTGATAGGTGGAGGAATACGCAACAGATCGCTACATTTCTCCGCCGGAAGTGCCTTCTCACTCATTTTTCCACATGCTTGAAGATGGCCGAAAACGTTTGTTTTTTAGATTGTATGAAGTATGCGAAAGATTGTCTGGGCATTGAGTTTGAACTTAAAGATAAACAGATAGAGACGTTAAGGTCTGTTTACGAGGGGAATGACACATTGGCTGTTTTACCAACGGGCTTTGGTAAGAGCATTA